GATGGAAGGTGTGAGTAACAGCTCTCTCAAGCAGCACCTGCTCAGCAATAACCTGCTCAGTGACGCCCAGTTTGGGTTCCGTCAGGGCCACTCAGCTCCTGACCTCATTACAGCCTTGGTTCAAACATAGACAAAAGAGCTGAATTCCAGAGGTGAGGTGAGAGTGACAGCCCTTGACATCAAGGCTGCATTCGATTGAGTGAGGCATCAAGGACCCCTAGCAAAACTGGAATCAATGGGTATCAGGGGGCAAACTCTCCGGTCGTTGGAGTCATACCTGACACATAGGGGGATGATCATGGTTTTTGGAGGTCAATCATCTCGGCTCCAGGACGTCTCTGCAGGAGTTCCTCAGGGTAGTGTTCTAGGCCCAACCATCTTCAGCTGCTTCATCAATGACCTTCCCTCCATCATAAGGTCAGAAGTGGGGATGTTCGCCAATGATTACACAATGTTCAGCACCATTCGCAACTCCTCAGATACTGAAGCAGTCCATGTTCAAATGCAACAAGATCTGGATAATATCCAGGCTTGGGCTGACAAGTGGCAAGTAACATTCATGCTACACAAATGCCAGGCTATGACCATCTTCAATAAGAGACAATATAACCATCACCCCTTGACATTCAATGGTGTTACCATCACTGAATCCCCCACTGTCAACATCCTGGGGGTTATCCTTGACTAGAAACTTATCATGGACTTTCCACATTAACAGAGTGGCTACAAGAGCAGGCCAGAAGCTGGGAATACTGCAGAGAATAACTCCCCTCCTGACTCCTCAAAGCCTGTCCGCCATCTACAAGGCACAAGTCAGGAGTGTGATGAAATAGTCCCCACTTGCCTGGATGAGTGCAGCCCCAACAACACTAAAGAAGCTTGACTCCAACCAGGACAAAGCAGCCCACTTGATTGATATCGCATCCACTCCCTCCATCACTAATGCTCAGTAGCAGCAGTGTGTACTATCTACAAGATGCACTGCATAAATTCATCAATGATCCTCAGGCAGTACCTTCCAAACCCACGACCACTTCCATTTAGAAGGACAAGGGCAGCAGATAAATGGGAACACCACCACCTCCAAGTTCCCCTCCAACACACTCACCAACCTGACGTGGAAATATATTGCCATTCCTTCACTATTGTTGGGTCAAAATCCTGGAATTCCCTCCCTAATGGCATTGTAGGTCAATCTATAGCTGGTGGAACTGCAGTGGTTCAAGAAGGCAGCTCACCACCACCTTCTCAAGGGGTAACTAGGGATGGGCAAGAAATGCCGGCCAGCCAGCAACACCCACATTCTACAAAACTGTTTTGTCCATCTGAATTGTAACATGACGCAACAGCCCAAACACATGGACACGACACAGGATAAACTTGAGTACCCTGTTGTAAGACATTCCTATCTAATGGTCCAAAGATGAACTTAGTGAAACAATTGGGAGTGGCTCGTTGGTCTAGGGGTATGATTCTCGCTTACGGTGCGAGACATCCCAGGTTCAGCTCCCACACGAGCCCAGGTTCGGGGTGGCACGGTGGCTCAGTGGTTAGCACTGCTGCCTCTCAGCGCCAGAGACACTGGGTTCGATTCCACCCTTGGGCCACTGTCTGTGTGGAGTTTGCACATTCTCCCTGTGTCTGCGTGGGTTTCCTTCGGGTGCTCCGGTTTCTTCCCACAGTCCAAAGATGTGCAGGCTGGGTGGATTGGCCATGCTAAATTGCCCATAGTGTTCAGGGATGTTTAGATGAGGTGGCTTATAGGGGGATGGGTCAGGGTGGGATGCTCTGAGGGTCAGTGTGGACTTGTTGGGCCGAAGGGCCTGTTTCCACACTGTAGGGATTCTAAGAATTCAAACACCCAAGAGATGGCAGCCTCTTCCACATCGCTCAGTGGTCCATCAATAGAGATGACCTCTATCTCTAGAAGGGAAACAGGAAAGAGGTATGGGCAGTGTGGTTTGAATGATTTAATCTACATTGTTGTTGAGATCAAATGCATTCACTGTTGCAACCAGGGCACTCAAACTGTGGAAGAGACCGAAGGAGAGTATCTGAGAATTGATGGGCAGAGTGAAGGGGTGTGAGAAATTTAACCCCGGCAGCAATTAGAAGAGCAAAACTGGGGCATGAGAGAAGACTTGTGAACAGGATTAGGGAGAATCCTGAGATATTTTATACGTACATTGAAGAGAAAAGGTAAAACAGGCAAAGAGTAGGGTTCAGCAGGAACCAAAGGGGCAACCTGTGTGTGAAGCCACAGGATATTGGAAAGGTGTTGAATAAATACTTCTCTTCTGTCTTCACTCTGGAAAAGGAGAACGTAGCTATGGAATTCAGGAAAAAGGGACTGTGAGGAACTTGCATAGTTCAACATAGGAAATGGGGAGGTATTGGAGGCTCTGTTGGGCTTAAAAACAGACAAGTCCTCTGGCCCAGATGAATTACATCTCAGGCTGCTATGGGGGCGAGGTAGGAAATTGCAGGGGCTCTGACTCAAGTTTTTATTTCCTCTCTGACCACAGGGGAAGTGCCTGAGAACTGGAGGATGGTTAATGCAAAAGTACTAGAGATGAACACAGAAATTACAGACCGGTGAGTCTCACGTCGGTGGTAGGGAAACTATTGGAGAAAATTCTGAAGAAGCAAATTAATACCCACTTTAAAAGGCATGGGTTAGTGAGGGATAGTTAGTATGGCTTTGTCAGAAGGATGTCATACCTAACAAATTTGTTAGAATTTTTTGAAAATATGATCAAATGTGTGGATGAGGGAATTTCAGTTTAAATGGATTTTAGCAAAGCTGTCGAGACTGATTGAGAAGGTTAAAGCACATAGAATTAAGGGAAACTTGGTGAGATGGATCAGAGACTGCCTTAGTGATAGGACACAAAGTGTAGTGGTAGAAGGCTGTTCAAGTGACTGGAGACCAGTGACCAGTGGTGTACCACAAGGATCAGTACTGGGACCCTTATTGTTTGTTTTATATATATATAAATAATATAGATGAAAATGTGAGAGGAACGTTTAGCGAATTTGCGGATGATACCAAGATTGGTAGGGTGGTTAATAGCGAAGAAGATGGTTGTAGGTTACAGGAAGATAGAGATGGGTTGGTCAGATGTGCAGACCAGTGGCAGATGATATTTAAAAACTGAAAGAACTGCAGATGCTGTAAATCAGGAACAAAAACAAAGTTGCTGGAGAAGCTCAGCAGGTCTGGCAGCATCTGTGAAGGA